CTATTCTTCCTATACATGTTATATTTGTGGAAATAACTCCAATTAGCTACAGAGCCGGAGTCAAGGTTTTGGTTATGATGCTGGATAACTTGTAACCAGACTACCTGCCAACTTGCTTTTTTTGTTTGTTACAGCCCTAGTTAGTTACTGAGCTAATCAGGGTTCTGTCACGTGTAGTAAGAATCACTGACTACCCCAGTAGCTGCTTATAAGTTGTCTCTGTGGTGGTATCCATGATTTGTTCTCTGAAATTCAGGAGCTGCCAGATATATTTCCTCTTGGGTACCTTTTACATCCTGGCCTTCCGTGTATGAATAGTGGAAGATTGCTTCCATTTTCCCTAATCATCTTAAATGCATTTCTTTGACTATGGTTGATATTGTTTAACACTGCTTTATGAATTGTATTATTGAATTATATATTTTATTGGTGTTTTTACCGTAAGCTGTTTTAAGATGTTGCTTGAGATTGCAAGCAGTATATACTAGATGGTGATGATATTGATGATGGGTGATATGATGGACAGGTGGAATTGGGGAGACTGATCAAGGCAGGATTTTCCATTTTCTTCTGTTTTAGTTGTGTTTTGTCCCCCCTCCCTCCCCCCTCTCTTTCTCTCGTTTTTTCATTCTCATTCTTTTGAGGTAATTTTAAATTTTACATTATAATTTAAATATGTGAAATCACAAAAATATTTAAGCTACAGCAGGGGTCCCTAGCCCCCAGTCTGTGGACCAGCACTAGTCTGCAGCATGCCAGAAACTGGTCCACACAAACAAGTGAAGCCTCATCTACAGAATGCAGGCAGCACACAAAACCATGTCCCTTCCAGTCCGCGAAATAAACCTCTCTCCACAGAACTGGTCTCTGGTGCCTCAAAGGTTGGTGGCCACTCGGCTACAGGAAACAGGACTTAGAGGGTGGCCTTAAGACTTCATATTCTCTTTCTTTGGTCTAAAGCAGGAGTGTCAAACTCAAGGCCCATGGGCCGGATCTGGCCCATGGGGTGCTTAGATCTGGCCCACTGGACCACTCTGGAAACACCGAAGGACCGGCCTGCAGTGCCTCTGCTAGCAAAAACGGAGCTCGAGAGGGCCATGTGCAGCTCCCCCTGAGCTCCATTTTCACTGGCAGAGGGTTGCAGGAGGCCATTACATCTGAAAACAGAGCTTGTGACGGTCATGTGTGCCCCTCCCCAAGCTCTGTTTTAGCTGATAGAAGGTTTCAAGAGGCCGTTGCAGCTGAAAATGGAGCTCGGGTGCCTGTTTTCGCTAGCAGAGCACTCGGTCCACCATAGGCACCCTGACACAAGTGATGTCAAACTGACCACGCTCACCTTGACCCCCGAAGGTCAAATACAACCCTGATGCGGCCCTCCATGAAATCAAGTTTGACACCCCTGCTCTAGAGGAAAATAGGTTTGGTATCCAAATTCAGAAGGGATTACAAATTTGAGTAGAAAATATAAACTATATATTTGTCTTAAAAATTAAGATACGATATCCGTAAAGTTTATTCCAGGAAAATGTAAATGAAGTAAACAAAATATATCTAAAATTCTTACTTGCCTTGTCAGGATCCCATAGAGTAATTCTGTCCATAGAACCCAGTTTTCATTTGGAGTCACTTTCCATTTCTTTAGTTTATGGCACATGCAGAGTATTTGAAAAAAGAGGGATTGTTCTCTGCCTCTGGCATAAGTAAGAATACCTATTATGGCTTTAACTCAGAACATTTCCTGCACAGAAAATATTTATTCACTTTGCAGTATACTTTGAAAGCAATCAGAAATACCTGCCCTATGTGCAAATATATCTGCAATGTGATAGACAGAGTCCTCTTTCTGCAGGGCACCTTGTGCATAACCAAGGACTTGGGAAAGTTTTTCCAGACATAAAAGTCTGGCCTTCTTTGACTTTTGTGCAACATGAAGGACAGAATGAAGGAATTTCTCCCATCCTGCTAGGACTGGCCATATAATCAGTGTTTTATTGATAATCTGCCAAGTGTGCTGTTCAATGTACAGGAACTCTTCACAAAATTGTACAAGTAATCCATCACTTACAACAGCTCGTTTAGTGACTCTTCAAAGTTGCAACATCACTGGAAAAAGTGATTTATCACCATTTTTCACACTCATGACCATTGAAGCAACCCCTTGGTCACATCAGTAGTGGGTTCCTACCGGATCGCACTGGTTCGGTAGAACCGGTTCATCAAATCTACCGAACCGGTTAGAAGAGGTTCCACCAGTGGACCCAGAAGTAAGTTCCGGAACACCTGCCCTGGCCCTGTCGCTCGCTCGCTTGCCCCCGCCTGTCCGAAAGCTGCTCCATTGCTCACTCTCCCTGCCTGTCTTTACTATCCTAGCCCCACCCACCACTCACTGATTGGCTGGCTCACCAATGGCTCCACCCGCCACTAAGAACCCTATCTAAACCCACTTACCTTTTTTCCTGCTTGGCTCTCTATTGCTGCCTGCCGACTCTGAGGAGGTAAGTAAGCTGCAACTAAGCGCAGGGCAGGAGGGCANTGTGTGTGTGTGTGTGTGTTTGTGTGTAGTAATTTCAGAATGCATAAATAGTAAGAAAGGTCAGCATTTTCTTCCATATTTTTTTTAATGAGTGGTTTGTGGAGGATTTAATCATAGTTTCCAACAGGGACAGTGGCTGTTTGTAATCATAGCTTCCAATGAGATCTGTGACCTTTTGCATAAGTTGTATCACTCCCCCTCCCTTTTTTTTTTACAGTAACACACATTCCCTTTGCTCTATGGATTGTCCAGTCTGGGAGTTGAAATACAGACATCTTAAAACATGCTGGCTGGGGGATTCTGGGAGTTGAAGTCCATACACTTTGAAGGATGCTGACCAGGGAATTCTGGGAGTTGAAATACAGACATCTTAAAACATGCTGGCTGGGGGATTCTGGGAGTTGAAGTCCATACACTTTGAAGGATGCTGACCAGGGAATTCTGGGAGTTGAAATACAGACATCTTACAGTTGCTGAAGTTGAGAAATACTGCTTTAGACAAAAAATTACACAATAGCAGGAATTATTAGAAAGGTTACAAAAAGAAACAGAATTGTAATATGGTATAATGCTCTCATAGTTTTGCTCATTTATTTCTTATTGAAATAATAAATGAACATCTAAATTTATGCCAAGGGCTGAAGTTTTAGGAAGGTAGTGCAAAGTCTGGATGGACATGAAGATATAATGCAGGAAGCAGAATGGATATCAGAAACTGTGGTATTCATCTTGCCCCAAAATACAGTCTATAGCTCTCTAATTTCTGGTGGGCAGCAGTAGGAGAAACACACATTTCCAAAAAGAATAAGAAAAATATTTTAAGCCTAAAAGTTTAGCACATTAGCAGTCTCTAACACACAAATAACAGCTGTCTTTTTTTCTTATTGCATTTATGATAAAGCTTCAATCTGTATTATTAATAATTTTACAGAGTTTTAAAAACATAGAAAATAATGAGTGGTTTGCAAAAGAGACACTTATATAAAATGAGGTAAAAAGTAAAAAGCACAAGTTAACAGGAATGTAAAAAATACAAGCGAACATTATTTTAAAACAGAAGAAAAGACCTCGGTGTAGCGAAGAGATGGAGATATATAAATTTTACAGTTCCCAAATGAGGCTGAATGGCAGCAAGGGTCATTGTAATGATAACAGATATTTGCTCCTGACTCTCTCACAACCACCACCCATCTCCAACATAATTTATCTTGTAAGTTACATACCTCTATACTGCTTTAACAAAAGACAACTCTGAATTTTGTCCCTTCTACTACACATTCACTGCAAACCGGAGCTCTGTTTAATTTATCAGCCGTTGACCTTCTAACACGAAGAAAAGAAAGAAAAATTAGCTGATTGTATATGAAGAAAGATCAGCACTTGCAAAGTTAATCTGGATATTCCCTGCCATCAGCACTAATTTTGACCAAGATGTTGTTTTCCATAGTTTTCAGACTGATCATTCTTCATAAATACAATTATGAAAAGGTTCAGCAAGAGAGAGACTCCCTCTTCAGGGGTTCTTTTGTGAGGGCACCAAATACGAGCAGGTACAATGGGAATAGATACATTTAGTACTCTGCCTCTCCTAGGCCATTCTCAGTCCATTGTACATATAGAAGGGATTGTGTGAAAAGGAGACCCTATCTGTTAATTTATATAAATTTATGTCCATAAAGATTCTTTCTGAGATCTACTCATAAGAACATTAAAATACTGATTTTTAAAAGGATTCCAACATTCTTGCTAGAGCTTTCATGGTTCGAGCTAATACTCTCTGCAAAAAATCCCATGGCTATCACAAGGTTGAACAAAATTGCGAGCAGAAGAATTAATCTGCTTCCTACCTGCAGAGCTTTCATGAAAAGAAGACATTGGAAGAGGAGTGCGGTGAAGATAGTATCATTGTAAAAGTTCATTTCCTGAATATTCTGTTTTTATACCATGTAAGAAATGGGTACATACAGCAGAAAATTATATCAGCTTTAAAGGATTTTAGCAAATAATTTGTTATTTTTACATGACAGTATGAAAGTGGCAGTAGGTAGTTTTCTCCAGCATCCATGTCCATTAGTCGAAGTATCTTAATAATAAAGAATGAAAATTTCAAATGAGATGACAATAAAGTACTTTATTTAACTTCTGTTAATTTATATAACTTACTTCCACCAATGTGACCTTCACAGAAACATTTCATTGTCATTTTCAAAACATTTTATAGCCCCAATTTTAGACTTGAAATGTAATCACAATCTCCTTTGCTTATAAAACTGCTTCAACATTCTAGAGCAGCCTAGGTAAGTTTAAGACATTCCCCAATGTTTACTGAGGAATTCTGGGAGCTGTAGTCCAACACCTCTTAATCTCGCTAAGGTTGGCAAACATTGCTCTAGAGCAGCTTGTTTTTCCCTGACACGTCAGTATTTTCTCATTCTAACTTCAGATTCTGCTTTCTCTTCTTTTCCAGTCTGCAGGCATGAATGAACCTCAGTGCTACTACAATGAAACCATTGCCTTCTTTTATAACCAAAGTGGGAAAACACTAGCAACTGAATGGAACACTGTGAGCAAGCTTGTAATGGGACTTGGGATTACAGTTTGTGTTTTTATCATGCTAGCCAACCTCTTGGTGATGGTGGCCATTTACGTCAACCGGCGTTTTCATTTTCCTATTTATTACCTAATGGCTAACTTAGCAGCTGCTGACTTCTTTGCAGGGCTGGCATATTTTTACCTGATGTTCAACACAGGACCCAACACTAGAAGATTGACTGTCAGCACGTGGCTCCTTCGTCAAGGACTCATTGACACCAGCCTGACTGCTTCTGTTGCCAATTTATTGGCCATTGCCATTGAGAGGCACATCACCGTGTTCCGTATGCAGCTCCATACGCGGATGAGTAATCGGCGAGTGGTGGTGGTAATTGTGGTCATCTGGACTGTGGCCATTGTCATGGGCGCTATACCAAGCGTTGGTTGGAATTGTATCTGTGATCTCGCTCACTGTTCTAACATGGCACCACTCTATAGTGACTCTTACTTGGTCTTCTGGGCTGTTTTCAACTTGGTCACCTTTGTAGTCATGGTGGTCTTGTATGCTCATATCTTTGGATACGTGCGCCAGAGGACTATGAGAATGTCAAGACATAGTTCAGGGCCTCGCAGGAACCGGGATACCATGATGAGTCTTCTAAAGACTGTCGTCATTGTGCTTGGTAAGTATCTTCAGATGTGATTTCTTCTATTCCCTCCTCAAAATAGACAGCCTGCATTTCATGGAAATGCTATGTGTTGCTTCTAATGTTCATTTTATACTGTCAGGATACAGATCAGTGAAAAGCATCATCCACATTATACAGTCTATTTTCATGATGTATAAAAAGGTTTAGACTCTGTATCAGTAAAATAAAGTGGCTTTGGGTCCGGTAGCTCTCCAGTTCTGCAAATATTCCATCTTTGGTTCTGAAGGTGGGCTTGTTTCCTTGTGTGCAGCTGATTTCTACTCTGGGAGTTCTGTAAGACATAAGACCCCATTGTGAAATTGTGGACGTTGAAAATAGTTCTACTTGTTGTTACGAAAGGCTTTGCACAAATTCATCAATTGCAATCTTTCATGGAGAGAAGATTTTGTTCAGTGTTACTGATGACCTCCATTGTGGATTATTACATTGTGTTCCCCATGGGATTGCTCCTGAAGACTATCTGGAAACTTCAGCTTTCTGTCAAAGTGACACAAGCAGTTGTAGGTTATACAGTTATACAATAGCAGAGTTGGAAGGGACCTTGGAGGTCTTCTAGTCCAACCCCCTGCCTAGGCAGGAAACCCTATACCGTTTCAGACAAATGGCTAT